AAGAAAATTTTGGACACTTATTAAAATTAAATAAGAAAAAGATAAAATACTAGAGGTTCTTTTATTTACTAATTAAAGAAATTAATGTATGCTAAAATAATAAGATTTTTAGTTGTTATATTATTTATTGTCATTAGAGACATATATATTGCAAAAAATAATCTAAGATCTAAGATTAATTGCTCGGTTGTTCATCAGGAAAATTTAGATGTAGGGTAGAAAAACTGACTTTAGAAATTTAAAATAATTCAAGAACTAACCGATTATCTAAATACTATTAAACAACTAATAATAATATAATGATAGCAAAATCGTTTTTAACTTTGTCATTTTTCAAATAATATAATTCTATGACTATGTAAAGTACACGATGAGGTGTTATTGACAAATTATCTCCTACCATTTCAGGTTTTTTGGCAACATCATTATACGATATCCAAGAGCCGGATACTCTTCTGCAGTACGCGATGTAGTGAAAAGTAGAATATCCTGCCACTCCGGATAATCTGAAATTTAATAAGTGGTCATTGATAATATACATCTGAAAATTCTAATAATTTTACAAAAAGCTAGTATTTAACTATAAAATATATTATTACTGGCATCAAAACCTAATATTTCTACCAAATTTCAGCCCAACAATTGCAATTAAGGTGAGTGTAATATTGAATACATAATTCATAGAAATGTATACAAATCAAGTTAAATAAAAACTTTTAATAAAAAACATATTTATTGTTCAAAATATTTTACTAACCGGTAACGAAGATTATCTCCAGATTCATTGGCTTCTAAATTTAAATATACTGGGAACTCACGTAATTTGCACATCCGACCTTCTGTTTCCCCAGGTTTTTTTACGTCAAGCTCTATGTAGATAAATAAATTCGGCGTTCTTTTAGATATTTTTTTATTGCTGTGACAATATTGACATCGCATATTATAAATAATACTGTGAAAATCTAATGCTTTCTCTAGTGCGCCAAAGCCTCTTCGGATAATCGTTGAATAATTTACAGATAAAATTGATACATTCTTAGTATTATTATTATTGATGCACTTTGGAGTTGGGCAAGAATTTTCTTCAAGAACACTCGGTTCGTTAGCAAATAAAAGCCGAGCCCATAAAGAGCTAACGTTATCTTCACAGGTAATAACTCGTGACAGAGGTACAGCCACAAGATTTTCATCCTTAATTTTTGGTTGCTTTTTTTCAGTTTCCTTATAAAATGGATATAAAATCTCTAACCTTTTTTTATAAATATTATTAGTTAAACCTTCATTTATAAAGTTATTTATAAATTTTAATGTAGGATTTTTTGAACTTTTACAATATTCTTGAAAATTGGTAACTTGTAAAGCGTAGTCGAAAAGTAGTTGTATAATCGTATCGAAAGGACACGTGTTGCGAATAATCCAATCACAACCTTGAAAACGCACACAGGCTTACAAGAATTGCCATTTTTTAATAAATGTACCTTGAATTTTTTATTATTAATATCATTCACCAATTTTATTTCCGGGAAATCTTGAAAATATTTACCTTCATGTATTTTTTCTCGAGTAACTTTTTTTACAGCAGCGGATAGAGTTTTTTTTTTTCTTTAATATTTTGTGGCGTTTCCCTTTTTAAACTGTAATCATGATCTTCAAAATTATTCAAGTATATATCACTTAAAGGACTACGATTTAATTTATTATAAGTTTTTAGGTTCTTCATTTCAATATATTATTTATAAGATTACAACCAATATCATAACAAGCTCCAAGTTCCAGACTCTGATTATAATTCTCTGCGTCATAAGAGCTATCTTCGACATGACAATCAGAATGCTCAATATTATCAGTACTACTATCGATATCAATACCACTGGAATGTTTATCTTTATTCATTGAAAGTCCATGATTGAAATCATGTTTAATCTTCTCATCAATTGTGGTTTTATCTTCATCAGACGTATCTGTAAGCATCCCGATGAAAAAAGTTTTTGTCTAATTATATATGATCATATATAATTATATATAATCACAGATGAGAGCATATATAATCAT